CTTCCATGTATAGTATGAGTGATATTAGTACTATCTAAACTCAGTGATCAAAAGAAGGGCACTTATAGACATGTATATTGGGTGAGATGTCATTGGATGTGTATGCTGAATCGTGCCAGCAACGTGCCATTCTATTTGGCTGATACCATTTAGAAACAACTGCTTAATGCTGTCAGGTGTTATTGACATGTGTACTTGCTATGGAAGAAATTGGGAAATCTTCAGTGCTAAGGGAGGCAGAAAAAAAAGTAGGTTGCAAAGATACAGGTGGGGATTTTGAGAACAGAGATGTGAAACTTGCAAAAGACTGTTTTTGTGGAAGTATGCTTTGTTTTCTAGAAGGAGCCTACAGTTGTACATTAGTGTGTTTGTATATTTGGTTTGCTTCATTTTAAAGGCAAGACTTGGACTGCAGAGCTGGAGTCTTAGTCCTGTAATCTGCCCAATATTCAGTAGGTTTCCCAGATCTTGCCAGGAAGCAATGAAATCTAGATCCAGAGTTACATTTGTCTGAAAACAAAGAGCAAAAGAATCCTGGGACAAAATTTCACCTGCATTCATCAGAAGCGTGGTCTCTGAATCTCACTGAGAATCTCAGGATTTGGTGTTTCCTTGTCTCTGTGCTGCTCTGAACAAGAATTTTGGCTTGGGCTCCCCTTTGACTATTGATTTTTATATAAAAACAGCCAAATAAGAACATCTGAGTAACTGATGTAACTTCTGGGTTTATTTAACTCCTGCGAAGTATTCCTCACTAGCTAGGTTTCTCCCTCCATCAGAAAACCCTAAGACCAAAAAACCCAAAAGCATTAGCTATCATGTGATCAAGGTCCAATCTGTCTCTTGACATTTCTCATACAAAATAGAAACTTAGAGTTACTTGTTCTTCAGACTGTTAAGTAACCGTTCTTGAACCTATTTCAGACCTGAAGGGCTCTTCCTAGGAATGTGTTCAATATTTACTTGAATAAAACATTCTTAACCTTGGCTCTTTATAAAAAATGTTTTTCATATCCTCATTCCAAATAAAATAAGTCATTATCATATGCCACAAATGCTCGTTATATAAGCTGATAAGGCCAGGTGATCTCTTAGAGAAAAAAGAGAGTCTGAAATATTTGATCTTTATTTTCATATTGAAAAGGCATGTCACAGAAAACAGGGGGATTGTTAATTTCAGTTGTTTGGTATAAATTCTCAAGCTTGGCTTTCAGCATAAGGTAGAGCTAGAAAAAGAAGTTACCTGAATTCAGAAGGAAGCAAGTGTGCACTGTCCAGATAATGCAGGTGGAATTGTGAATGTGTATCTAACTGATGCCTTGAGATCAGGAACCATTTAAAATGAAACATTCACCCTTTCAAAACACATCTTTGCTGTAGGGAAACACCACTGTAAAATTTAGAAGAAATCAATTTTCCTTTCACTGTTTCTCAGCTTTCTGAGTGCACGAATATATATAAATGAAGGAATGGGTCCTCTGTGCAATATACAAATATCCTCCAAGATAATAATTTTTGCATATACATATTGAGAGACTGTGCCCTAAAGCGAGGGACACAGTGGAAAGGATTTCTATGTAAAGGATTGTGAAACGTGAAGTAAAGTAATTCTACATCACTTCTGAGAATAACAGCTAAATGTAATCTGTTTTACTCAGTGCTGCAATTTTTCAGCTGTAAGACAATGTGTGATGTCAAAGAAGTGACTTGTCATCCACTTGGATGCTAGTTTAGTAAAACGATATTTGAAGAAAATCTAGATTATACAAAATTTCACGAAGTGCCAATTCTTTTAGTGCTTAGATACTCTCATATAAGATATGACAATATGTAATATATAATCATCATTATCCATGAGCTGTTTAGATGAGGTGTATATTGTTGGTAAGTGCAGACAAAACCAGGCAGAGATGGGTGAAGTTTAAGTTAGTTTAAGTTTAAGCTTATTAATTTAGGCTTCCTTGTTTAGGCTTCATAAGCTTATTAATTTAGCCCTTCATAGAAGTGGCTGTATTTTTTTTCCAGGGCCAGCAAATCCAAAAACAGCTTGTATGGTATTAGTAAATCCTATTAGGCCTAAGTCAGCAGCTTGGGAGTTTCTGAACCATGCTACTAGAGTTAGAAATGCTGTGGAGAGTGTAGGGACACCCCTGTGTCACTCTAGGTAAACAGTGTTTGAATTTAGTGTGGACTTATCGGGATACTGTTGTCGTCACTGCACTTCCTTTTACTATTCCATTGGGAGAATATATGAGTTTGAACTTTGAAACTAGGCACAGATTTTTGAGGTTGCACCTGAGCTAAGACGCCCACTTCAGACCAAGAAAACAGAGAAAGAGGAGATAGCCCTGTGAATCTGAGAGGAGCCATTAGTTCAGCTAGTTTGTAAGTCTGAACTAAAAAACAGTGAATGACCACATGGGGATCCTCTGTAAAATGCTTTCCCATTAGTACTTGTGTTACTGGGGTAAAAAACAATCACGAAACAACACCCCCTTACACCATTTCCAATAGGATGAGTTCTCAAACATCTCTGTAAGGTCTCTGTGAAGATCAATCTTTTGTGAAGTTTACCTGACATAATCACAGTTGGATGGATACACTAATGTTTTCTTTATAAACGTATCCCAAAATATAGACATGGGACTAATTATGAACAACTGAAATCTACATTATTTTCTTCATGTTGCTGATCAAGATAGACAAGGAAAAATTGTAGGACACAAATGTATGCTATATCCCTTAGATACAATAGGTGTTTACAGACATTGGGTTTAACAATTTACATGATCCAGTAGTATAAGTAGCTTTTCAGTTCCTGTCATGCTGAAGTCATGTAATCTTGACCCTAAACATCTGTTAACATAAATTGACCAGAAAATTTGCAAAAGGCCACTTGATAGTATCCCTCATCATGAAGTTATGGAGCCTTCAGGATTCAGCAATAAGCATAGCTCATCAATCCTCTAGTATATGAACTAGTATACTCTCACTGTAGCCTGATGCAGAGCCACCCACTTATGCTTCCTATCACTAACTGTTACTCTTTTTGTCCTTACTGTCCTGCTATTCAGACCTAAGTGAGGGACTAAAGAGCAGTAAGAGACAATTTTCTAGAAGTTCTAACATATGAATAAAATGCAAATCAAAGAAAGCTTCATTTCTGTGTAATGGTTTGGTTTGGGGTATATCACTGGCCTTAGCCAAGAGCTGAGGTCACCTAATATAAAAAAATGGTTGGGATCATATTTTCTAAGTTATTTTGTGAAAAAACCTGCTTAATGCCATTTGAAAAAATTAGAGATCAAGTACATCTACTGATTTACTGTCAGAAGTCTTGATATAGCATCACAGTGAAAATGCTTTAACTATGAAGGGAAATGCAAGCAAAACTGAATAATTGCATAACACTGACCACTGCAAGGTCACCAGTACATTAACACTCAGTAATGACTGCTATATCCTGGGGTTGTTACAGAATCATTTTCCAGATGTTTAGGACAGGTCTACTTGTAAATTAGGACTTCCAGAAATATGGGCTTGTTAGTAATCATTACCAGGATGGATATATAGAGAAGTAAAGAATAATGCTACTTCTGCTTAGCTTTTCTTTGCATCTCTCCAGTCAATGTCTAACCAATACTGTAGGTAGCTCAGTAGTTATGTAGTTCAATAATAATATAGGAGTATGGAAATGAAAATGCTGGGATCATACTATTGGCAGCCTGATACGTGTAAAGATCAACATAGCTGTTATTATGTAGACTTCACAAATGTGTGTGTAAGGACTCACAAAAGTCAACCACCACCTGTCAAATGTAAATACTTTGCAGAGTCCTCAGCTGCAGAAGATAGGTACATACCTCCTGTAGTGCCTGATGGGGCCCTCAGAATGCCCCTCAGAATAGGAATCGTACAGACCGTCAGGCTGAGTGGGAAAATACGAATACTTCAAAGGAAGAATAGTAAGACAGGTAATCAACTATCAACAACTTCAGAGCAGAAAAATTAATGAGGTTTTCTTTTTACCTGTGATACAGGCTGGATAAAGGGCTGAACACCAAACAAGTTAGTAGTTAAGCTACTGCGGAAACTAACTGCACATCTTCTGCTTTGTGGTAGCTTTCTGATTCAGGAGTAAATGCATTGGTTTTTGTCCAGTAGTAAATTGCCTTGAAATGTCTTGCAAGGAAGAACAGGGCAATTTTAAAAAGTACATGAGTATTTCTATCTGGACGTAACTTCCTTTTTTTTCTCCAGCCCCTGTTCAGTATTCTCAGAGGATAAGCATCTTTTCTGTAAACATGTTGAGACATTTTGGGTTCTTTCAGCATCAGCCCATAAAAATATCCTCACGTTCCATCTGGAAAATAATTCACATTGCTTTTTCTATTTAAAGCTGAATCAGAAGTTCATTAAAGGGAGACAATTTGGGCTGCTGAAAAGAGATCAATGATGGGGTAATTATTCACAGGCATAGTTCATTATTCAACCAGCTGTGTACACAGGACATCACTGACATTAAAAGCTGTGGAAAAAATGCTTTTTTTCCCCCTCAACACTTGTGGCTCAAACTATTTTAGATAAATTATAGTGAAATTTGCATTTTTTATGTCTTACATTTGTGATCTTAAAAGGAAACTGAAAATTTATTGGCACAGTAAAGTCATACCTACATATTGCATTAAAAGTGGGTTTGTTTACTTTCTTTGGCTTTGTGATAGAAAAACAAATGTTTTAATCACTATAGGGAAAAGTACTGTTTATTTATAATTGCACCTGTTCTTGCATAATAGGAAATACAGTTTGAGCCGTGCTTTCCTAGAATTGTTGTCTGACTGGTACAGTTGTTCTCTAAATCCGATACTCTTGTGTTATCTGTCAAAGGATGTTTTATTTCTTCTACTTTTTTTATTTATATTTGAAATGCTTGGCATGTTCCTCTTTACATTAGTATCCTAGCTATGTTTCCTGAGCTGCCTCTATGGATGTCTTTCAAGTCTGGACAGTAGCATCCAGTGTCTTCAAATTAGCATTCCTTGATGAAGTGAACTTAATACTCGCATGCATGCGATTGTGGTCCAAGTTGGAGGTAAAGAAAACAATGTTCTACAAATTATAGGAGCTGCTTGGGAAGCGTTCTTGGTTCTTTGCCCTCCTTAGGAAGTTTTGTTTATTTTCAATCTTAAAAGTTGCAAACCAGCCTTATCATTTCTACCATTTGCAAGAATTGTACCCCTGCCAGTGGCACTTCCTTCCCTCACCCAGGAGGTTTCAGTTTGAAAAGTTTTCAGGAAATATTAAAAAGACATCATGATATATGTTTCACTAGTCAAATAAAAGGAATTGAAAGTTCACATTTAGGTCCTTTCTAAGCCCAGAATTTTTAATGCATTCACCTCTGATTTGGGGAATTACTCATGTCCAGGCAGACCTTTACTAGATCCCATGGGTATGAACAGAGATTTAAATAAGCAAAATGATTTCTTCTGCCTGAGTGGTAGCAAAGGTTTCATGTTCCTTAACAAATCAAGTAAGCATTTAGAAGCTCTAAAAAGTACTTTAAATGCATCCATGGAGAAAAATAGCTGGAAAATGAATTTATGACCCATGGACAGCTCTTAACAGCTGAACTTTTTTTTTTTTTAATCTTTTAACTCCAAATGCAAACAAAAGTTCATCTTTTTAAAATTTCTTGCTGAAAGAAAATTTTGATTAGTAATTTTTCATTATTTCAGCCTAAAAATCTGGATCAATAAATTATTAAATTATAAAAATAATTTAACTGAATAATTTAATAATTTAAATTAAATATTTGTAGCTTGAGGGAAGTTCACGAGGAAGGAAGAAGAGTGGATGTTTAAGTTACCTGTGCTGCAGATCTTACCAAATGGTCTACAAGGGAAAACAACTTTTTAACATGGCTCTGCAAAGAAGAGGTGTTGGTTAGATAAGACTTGGTCAAAGCTTTTTGAAAGCTCCAAACAGGAGCAGAATGTATATTATCATAGGTTTTGATGGCCTCCTCTTGCATGACTAACATCATACCTACTGTTTCTGTCAAAACCAAATAAATTCAAATTCTAATGAAGATAACTTTAGGCAGCTTTACTAAGGTCATGTAAATATGTTTGTCGTATTAACTCAAGCGATTTAAGCAATTTTTCCACCTGGTCCAAATGATCTCCCTGTCGTATGGAACTACCTTCTTTCTGCTTCTAAATGGTTTTGCCATTAGGAGGGAACAGATTGCATTTCCATAACTGCAATATATTCTAGTGGTTATACCTTATAATTGTAAAGCTGAAGAGATGAGAAACTAGTCAACTCACTGTGTGGAATCTTGTGAATGCAGTATGACCTCAACTGGGGAAGGCTTGAATTATTTTTATGAAAAAGTTTTAATTTTTAAAAGTGAGATATGATGAGGCCATTTTTGGTACCTCTCAACTTTAATCAGTGTTTTTATGTACACTACATGTCTTTCCCAGATCCTCAATGAAAGTAATCTGGGTTTGGGTATTTAAAATTGTTACCTTCTTTTCAGAGCTCTCATTTTATTTAAGCACATTTTGGCATCTGCAGGTTTAAGGCAGAGAAATATTTTTAAGTTGACATTTGCTATCATTAACATCTACAGACAAGCAAATCTGCAGCAGTTTGGGCAGTGTTTTATGAAAGAAAATTCCTTCATGTGACATAGCCTGTCTTCTTGACAGCCTGGGTTGATTACAAGGCTTTTCATTCAATAAGTTAAAAATATTAAATTATTCTTAAATTATTCTAAAAGCTGTAGTATTAAAAGTTATAAATAATTATAACTTCCCAAAGAGTTTACTTGGGAAAGTTTTTAATTCTTAGATTTTTTAACAAAAAGTTATTTTTGAAGGTATGATCAGATTAGGTTGAAGCTAGTTTTGCACATATACCTGCTTTAAGTCCTGCTGGAAATGTGGATGAAGTTATATAATTCTGGGGGGAAACTGGTTGTGACTGGGATTGTAAGAAAGTCAGTTTGTTAAGACAAATCAAGGTGGCATTGCCTAATGATTGGGCCATTGGACTGCATCCAAAGAAAACTAAACTCTGTGCTTGGCTTGCTTGCTTGCTGGCCTTTTAGGTGAATTAAGGCAAGCTGCTTGACCTCATTCAGTATGCCAATTAGTGATTCTTATCTCCTTTGAAAGACAATTTGAATTCTACTGATGAAAAGGCTTATTGCTACTTACCCTTATTTAAAGTTATGTGAATATTAATCAAGACAGGTTTGGCTTTTTCTTTTTTTTTTTTTTTCCCAGTTCAGAGCTGTTTGCTTGGGGAAGATTCAGTTGTATTATTCTTGACAAGCTTTTCTGAAAATGTTTGCTCCCATTGTAAAATAGCCTAAGATTTAGCTTTTTGCTCTCCTGTAGGCTTAGGGAGAGACAGTAAATACTAAATAATTAATCTCAATTAACTGCCTAAGAAGGTACATTGACTAGTTAATTGATATTAAGCACTGCAGCACCTAATTTAGCATTTAAACACTGCATCTACTGCTAAACTGAGCGACATATCTTCTTAATGGACTTGCACTGTACCACAGTTGTTCCTGTGGCTCAGCTGGAGGCGGGAACCCTAGTGTATGTCTGCTGGTGCTCTCCCAAGCAGTGTCCAGTCCTGGAAGGGAAGGACATTCCAGGCAGGATTCTCAGTAATCAGTTTAGAAGTTGCTACCATGTTTTGGGAAAGAAAAACTTTTGCAATGTGGAATTAGCAAGTTCCTGTTGGGACTAGAGACTGGTTTTACCTACAGTCAAAGATGGCAGACAAAGCATGGCCTTTGGTGACTAACTATACATCATATTTTGCTATTGCTGTTGTAGCTTTATGATAGTTCATTCCACTGAGGGGAAAACACTGAAAAAATAGTAATAGTGGTAGTAGTAGGAGGAGGGGCATGGGTGTGTGTGTTTTGCACAATCCAATGAGAATTTTCCAAGTATTAAATCTAGTATAACTTTAAGAATGGCCCATTATTTTTCAGTTGCTCAGGTGTAGTCAGCTTTTCTTGCTCTGAAGGCCATACATTGACATTTTATAAAAACCAGACTCAGAAAGATGCATTAGATACCTTGTGAAACAAACAATTCTGATAAGAGCATACAAGGAAGTGATGGTGATTGGTCACTCAAAGACAAATGTCATTGTTGTTAGAACATCCCAGATTCATCACAGATGGGCAGTGTGTGCAGCAGCTTCTGAGGGTGTCCCACAAAGTTTGTCTCAACAGGCCTGACTAATGTGCTTCCTTCTGTTTGCTGGTATTGGGACTTCTTAATCAAATCTAATCAACACCTAACACTGCTGGTTATGGGGCATAAATGCATCATGTAAATTATGTTTGGATATTTAAGATCTGCATATTTTCAACAACTATTCATGAGTTATACTTAAAATTAGGCACCTCCCTGCAAATGACTGGAATATCTGTGGAAGCACAATGGAGTGAAATGAAGAGAAAAAAAACAACCAACAACACTACAATTATACACGCTGATAATATGTTTCAGTAATGCTCATGCCATAATTCAGAAAACAGGTATCCAAGGTTATTTGACTAACATAGTCTGCCTAATCTGTACCTGACTCATGACAACAACAGCATGTTTATGATCCTGAGAGATTCACATGGACTTGTTTGCGTCTTGGGAAGAATCTAGAATACTAAATTGCTTTTATAGACAAAGACATTAATGTTCTTTGTACTAGGGATAATGTTCTTTTCTTTACAGTATGCTACCTGAAAAAGTAGATAAAATGTATTCAATCTTGGCAGTGAGGCATAGCTAAACTGTATATTGCTGAAATTATATGTTTAAACTCATGTTGTTTTGTCTGTCCTTCACTATACCATTTGGGCTGTGTGTTCAACCAGGCAGATGTTCTCTGAAAAGATGTGATGAATAAGGACTACTATCAGAATTTTGTAGACAAAGTGAAATTTGAGAATTTTGTAATCTGCTGCTAGGGAAGCTATAATGCTATCTAGAGAACATCTCTCTAAAAAATATATCTCTAGGAAAGGGGTATATCTTAAGATTATATCTCCTTTAAATGCCTGAGAATTTTGCCAGAGTGAACCTTAGCCATTTGCCTACAGTCTTTGGAAAACTAGCTCCTGCTGGTCTGCAAAGTGAGTCAGTGGTAGCACCTGGGGAAGGCTGGAGCTACTGTGAATTCTAGCTAAATTCAGTATGCCCAGAACAAACTAATCTGTAGACTGGCTCCTTTGCTCTTCAGGCTTACTGAATGGCTTTTACTTTGTGGGTTGGAACTACATGATCTTTAAATTCCCTTCCAACTCAAATCATTCTGTGATTCTAATAATGTACTAAGGAGACACTTTTCCTGGTATCTGCCAAGGGTAGCCAAAATTCACTAATCCCTATAATCTCAAAACTGCTATCGATTTAGGGAGAGGGTCTCTCATTTTTTAATGGTTTTGGTTGTTATCGTCAACTCCCTAAAAGGAAATCCCTTTCCTACCCTTCCTCTGAGTCGGGTGCCTTTGATCTAGAATCCAGAAGGATACACAGCAATACCATTCTCTTCACCATTGCAAAGCCAGCTGCTTTTCTTTAAATGGTCTAATTCAGGGCTATGTGTATGAGTTGTGAAGGTGATTTTTGCATTTGTACTAGTCATATGTAAAGAATTTCTGAACACCTGATGTCCCTTTTGTAGCTATGAGGGTAGTTGAAAACCCTGCCAAATATCCACACCCCAAGTTTTACATGGGTAAAGTTTTGGCCAGCAAAAGGTTAAACTTTCAGAGAAATAGAAATCCAAACACATTTTGACTCCATTAATTTTCCAGACTGGCATGTCTCATCACACTGTAAAAACAAACTAAATCTTAAAAAAATGTAAGTCTACTTTGGATGTAACCAGAGGGAAGAGGATTACGAGGATGATGTCTCAGCTCAGGAGAAATCTTTGTGAGTTTGTCTTTTTCTAATACAAGTTGTACTTCAGAAATGTTTGTCTGACTTTCTGAAAACAGCAAAGAATTTGCTGTTACCTCAGGCAGGGAATTTCATCTTGGTTTAC